TTGTCATGTATGTACCCTAATGTTCAGCCAAAATGTTGGAGATGTGAATGTTTGGATGCTACGTATTATCATGTTTGGTGGACCTGTAGGAAAGTTAAGGCTTTTTGGATAAAAATATGGTGGGTCATGCAGAATGTTTTGAAGAAAAAAATTCAATTTTCTCCACAATTGTTTTTATTGGGCATAGTTAAGGGTTTTACACGGGATGAAACAAAATTAATATTGTATATGATAACAGCAGCAAGATTGTTGATAGGTAAATATTGGAAGAATGAAGCTTTGCCTACTATCGAGGAATGGACTTCGAAGATGGCCAGTTTTGCAGAGATGGCGAAGATTTCAGCATATTTAAAAGATTGTTCACAAGAGACTTATGAATGGGAATGGAAAAGGTGGATAGAATATGTTCAGAACAAATACCAAATTAGAAAGTATCAAATAGCTTTTATTTGAAAACAATGTATTAGAAATATTTTAATATAAAGAGACAAAGAGGGAAAATTATGTAGGGGGAGGGATGGGTTCAGGTATATATATCAGTGTTATTAGTTATGAGTACATAACAGGGAAGTCTGGGGGGGGGAGGGTTAGGGAGGGTTAGGGAGGACGGGAAGTTTGGGGAGGGAGGTGGGGGGGGGGAAAAAAAAGGGGTGAAAATGTAATTGTAAAACTTTTGCAATAAAAAAAAAAAATAGAGGGTAGTGGTCAAAGGATCCTTGTGACGAACAAAGCAAACCTTGGATAGTCACTAAAGCCTCGTCCGGAGCTGCTGAGAGAAAGATTTAAAGTGTCGGACATTTGGACTCTTGAGTATTTTGTCTTTCTGGTTTACTTTGAAAATAAAGTCACTTGGCAGACGGTGTGTCTATCGCAGCCAAGTGGGAGATAAGAACTGGGTGCGTTCCAAAGTGTTTCCTTAACCCTCGACTGGCTGTGTGTGTGTGTGTGTGGGTACGGGGACAGATCAGGAAGGCCGGTCACCTGCGTGGAAGGCACGTGGGGTGAACTGGTGGTAAGAATATATGAAACCCACCATTGCCTCAGAATATATGCAAATATACATCAGAGCTAGAGCTAACCTCACTAATTTTCCTTTCAGGTAACTAACATCCACCCTTTACCCTCCCTGGCAGGTTTCAGAAACCTGACAGATTTCTGAATTTGGTGGTTCCTTCCCCTCTGCCCATCCCTCTCTCACCATTGCCCTGTAGATAACAACAAACCATCTTCCCTTTTCTGTGTGCTTAGAAGCTTCCTTCTTGTTGCCTTTGGATCATTTCCGCTAGTAATTTTAATGTTTAATAACTGCATATTTCCCTGTCTCCACTAATGGAGGACATCTGTGGCCTTAGCCTTTTAATTAGGTGGTAATTAGAATCTAAACAACATCTCTGACTTGCTGAAAATGATCCCGGTAGCACATGAATTCTCTTTGAAATCTCTCTCCCTCCTCCCTTTCTTGTTTTAAAGGCGTAGGTTCAGCTACGATGGGGAGAATTTTCCTCTCTCTGGTGGACTTTTCAACTGTCGAATAAAATTATGCCATCTGAAGGAGGGAAGGGCCGCAAATTGCCCATCAAGAGTTAGTTTTTAAATTGCAGACTCCACAGGAGGAACCCAGGTCTTCCTTCACAAGGAAGAGATGGCTTGTATTTGTGTTTAAACTGCAAGGTGGTTTGTTCAATTTAGGGGGGGGGGGGGGGCTCAGGGTTAAAAAAAAAACGGGCTTGTCGGTTTGAGACCTGAGTGCTGTGCGATGGGATGAGTTGCTGTTCTTGCTCCAGCTACTGCCCATCTGGCAGTTCAAAAGCATGCAAATGCGAGTAGTTAAATAGGTACCACTTCAGTGGGAAGGGAACACTGTTCTGTGCACTTTGGCATATAGTCATACTGGCTGTCAGCTTCGAACTGAACCTGGCTGCCGCCATCTTTCTATTCCTCAGTTGCCACAAAGAGGGGGAAGGGGGGGGAAGGAGGTTGGAATGCATGAGATGAGATGAGATGAGATGAGATGAGATGAGATGATGATTAGATTAGATTAGATTAGATTAGATTAGATTAGATTAGACTAGACTAGACTAGACTAGACTAGACTAGACTAGATTAGATTAGATTAGATTAGATTAGATTAGATTAGAATTCTTTATTGGCCAAGTGTGATTGGACACACAAGGAATTTGTCTTTGTTGCATATGCTCTCAGTGTACATAAAAAGAAAAGATACATTCGTCAAGAATCATAAGGTACAACACTTAATGATAGTCATAGGGTACAAATAAGCAATCAAATCATACTAGGAAACAATCATTATAAATTGTAAAGATACAGCAACAAATTACAGTCATACAGTCATAAGTGGGAGGAGATGGGTGATAGGAACGATGAGAAGACTAATAGTAATAGTAATGCAGACTTAGTGAATAGTTTGACAGTGTTGAGGGAATTATTTGTTTAGCAGAGTGATGGCGTTCAGGAAAAAACTGTCCTTGTGTCTAGTTGTTCTGGTGTGCAGTGCTCTATAGCGTCGTTCTGAGGGTAGGCGTTGAAACAATTTATGTCCAGGATGTGAGGGGTCTGTAGATATTTTCACAGCCCTCTTTTTGACTCGTGCAGTATACAGGTCCTCAGTGGAAGGCAGGTTGGTAGCCATTATTTTTTCTGCAGTTCTAATTATCCTCTGAAGTCTGTGTCTGTCTTATTGGGTTGCAGAACCAAACCAGACAGTTATAGAGGTGCAGATTATGAGACACAACAAAGAGCTTTCTCATGAGAACTAAGGTCATCTCCACTGGCAACAGATAAGGTTGGGAAAGGAGTGTCTGAAGAGCCCACCAATTAAACCCAATTGGCCAACACGATCTGTGACATTTGGGGATGGGGTTATTTCCTAGTTTAATTATACTGAAATCACGGGAAAGATTTGGTTTTCCATTGAAGCTATGCCGATATGATGTACTCAGTAAAGAAGACCTTTGAGAAAGAACTGAGTTTCAGAGTTCTGATTTGCTTGGTTTCATTAGTTGCCGCCTTGACACTGGCCACATGACCACGGAAGCATCTTCGGACCACACTGGCTCCCTCGGCTAAGACATGAAGATGAGAACCAGCCCCTAGAGTAGGACACAACTGGATAGGGGGAACCTTTATCTTTTGTTCAGTTTGAATCCACACCTCTAAATCAACAAAGGGAAATATTATGCAGATCTGCATCTGTATCTAGTATAGATAAGTAGCTATTTTATCCCAAAGGTGCTTTTTCAAAAGGCAACTGGATTTCCTTTGTTTTTCCTTGAAAACATTTTGCTTCTCACCCAAGAAGCTTCTTCTAGTCCATGACTTGGGATGACTGAGGATCTTCATAGATATTTAGCTATTTTATCCCTGCACTAGGATGGCATGCAAAGTCTTTGTATATCAGACTTTGGGGAAAAAAAACACAATCTGTATCAGAAATCAGACTGATTCCATCCCAACCATCACCCCTGAGTTTATCACTTAATAACCATGTGATTCATTTAACAACAGCAGTGATTTGGTTAGCAACTGTGAGAAAACATGTCATAAAATCAGACATGACTCACTTAACATAGCAATGGAAATTCTGGTGCCAATTGTAATCATATTCATGTTCCAATATCTCAGGGGCTGCCCCAAAGAAGAGGGAGTCAAGTTATTCTCCAAAGCACCTGAGGGCAGGACAAGAAGCAATGGGTGGAAACTAATCAAGGAGAGAAGCAACCTAGAACTAAGGAGAAATTTCCTGACAGTGAGAACAATTAATCCGTGGAACAACTTGCCTCCAGAGGTTGTGAATGCTCCAACACTGGAAGTTTTTAAGAAGATGTTGGATAATCATTTGTCTGAAGTGGTGTAGGGTTTCCTGCCTAAGCAGGGGATTGGACTAGAAGACCTCCAAGGTCCCTTCCAACTCTGTTATTTTATTCTATTCTATAAGCTGAGGACTATCCATAAACTGCGCCAATGAATATTATACTGAATAGGTGTCGAATTCTTTGTGCCCATAGACTAGATATTTCAATGCTGAAATTAAATGTGTTGCTCTTAAGATGTTTTTCTTAAGTAAAAAAAAAAAAAAAATAAGGACGGGAAATATCAATCCGAAGAAAATCTTCAGAAAACGAAACCGCTTGCAAATTGTCCCCGCGTTTTCTTTCACCGGCACTCCTTTTCAGGTTGAAACGCTTGATTATCCCTGAGCCGTTCAGAACGAAATGTTTCTATATCTAGTCACAACGTATAAAAAGGATATGTATTTATATATCTATTCCTATATAGCTGATTGCATCGAGAGCTCTTCCATCTGCAGGCTTTGTGACAGAACGTGTTTCGGTTTAGGGATGAATCAGATCTGCAAGGGAAGTGTTTTCAAACAGCTGGAGTTGGGGATGGTCTTTACACAAAAGTTGCAAAGCCAAACTTTAGCCAAAAGTATGTCTTATTCCTTCCAAAATGGACACTCGCCCTCTCGGTTACATTTGAGAATGGAATCAGGCCAGCAATTTTTTACAAATATACTTATCTACTTTGGAAATATAGTAAGCAGTCTAAAAATGCATTTATAATAATAATAATAAAACAAATAAAATATACCCAAATCTCTTTTAAAATTTAACCAGCTCCCCAGATACCCAGGTGCTGTCCGGGGTCCTGAGCCTCAAACATCAACCTGAAACCGGGCGGCGTGAAGACTCAGGGAAGATGGAGGGAGAGCTGGAATGATAACAATTTTCCTAATTTTCAGTCAAGAGGCTTTCCAAATCTTTTCTGCTACTCCTAGTAATTCAACCTGGTATACCTCTTCTCCGTGTCTCTTATGTTGACATTGTGAATAAATGACATTGTGTTTTGCAATACGTTGGAACTATATGTTGATACTTTTTTCCCCTTCTCTCTCTCTCTCTCTCTCTCTCTCTCTCTCTCTCTCTCTCTCTCTCTCTCTCTCTCTCTCTCTCTCTCTCTCTCTTTCTCCTCTTCTCTAGCTTCGGTATTCAGCCTCTGATTGTCCTCAGGAGGTAAGTCCTGTCCAGCTGGAGATGTAGTAATGTGTATTGTGCTGGCCAACATCACTAGCGCTTTCCGTGTTCACAAAGCGAAGCCTGTTTTAAAGATTGCTTATCTTCGGTCAACAGCACAACCGGTTGCAAGGTCTTTTAATTCTCCATTGGTTATTAATATCAACCCATTCATGTTGCAAGTCCATCAGACAAAAATCCAGGTAGTCCTAAGACTTACAACAGTTAATTTAATGACCACACAAAGATACAGTGGCACTGCAAGAATGACCGATTTTTCACATTTACCACCATTGCGGCAATCCCCATGGTTAAAATTCAGATGATTGACAACTGACACCTATTTATGACGGTTGAAGTCTCCTGGGGGTCCCGTGATTCCTTTTTGTGACCTTCTGACAAGCAAAGTCAATGGGGAAGCTACACTGACATAACCGCCGTGTTACTAACTTAACAACTATAGTGATTGACTTAACAACGGTGGCAAAAAAAAGTCGTAAAATGGGGGGAAACTCACTTAATAACTGTCTTACTTAGAAACAGAAATTTTTTGCTCATTGCGGTCATAAGTGCAGGACTACCTATATATTCCAAGCAGTCTTTTAATGAATCTAACATGCTCTGGGATCCGTATTGTCAAGCATTGCCATACATTACTTCTTCCGTCTCTGATGCCAATAATTTCCTACAGAGGACCAAATCTGGACTGTTGTATTACTGCATTGTCAATAGGGATGGTTTATGACTGCTGATTGATTTTGGATGCATGTTCTCATGAACTTTCAGAGTTTATGGCTACTACTGCCAATAACAAGGACTGTGCAAATATTAAAGGCTGTTTGTTCCAGTCTCCAAATCGAAATTTTTTCCCTTTCCAGCTGAAGAGTGCCAATTCCATTCCACTTGTTGGATGAAATTGGATGCATTCGGTTGGTTTGAACTGATTGGAAAATTTAATGCACGTCCACGGGTATTTTTCTGGTCCAAATCAAAGCGAATCAATATAATTTGGTTTAATTCAACAAGTCAAATGGCTCATCTGAACAGGAGCGTTCAGATCGAGTCAGTTAATTTGTACCCAACTGGGTCCAATTCATACCCTGTTAAAGGATGTTTAGGGTTCATATTTCCATGATTGATCTGAACATAAGTAACATATAATAATTAGTGTTACAAGGGCTGTTCTGTTATTGTCAAATTCTAGGTAGTCTATTTCTTGTAATGGCAGCACGTTAACTATTGAACTCTCTTTGAAAATGAAGTCTAGAAACTTCAGTTAATCTTCAGCAAGACAGCTACGCTGTGAACAAACTAGGACATCACAATATGGTTTAAAGCAAAGACAAGGCTTGTACTGTCAGTCCCTATGAGATTTTTATGAGATTGAAAACAATACCTGTATTAAAAAAATAAAAGAAACGGGGGAGAGGGGGATTATAGCATGCTGGCCATTTGCCGTATATGAGGCAATGACTAGACCATTTCTGAGATTATATCAAACTGTTTGTTTCCGTCTTGAAAACCATATCAGTTTATAACCAAAATACAGGTAGTCCTCAATTTACGACCATGTTGTTGTTAGTTGCGAAGTTGTGTCTGACCCATCGTGACCCCGTGGGCAATGTTCCTCCAGGCCTTCCTGTCCTCTACCATCCTCTGGAGTCTATTTAAGCTAACTCAGACTGCTTCAGTGACTCCATCCAGCCACCCCATTCTCTGCCGTCCCCTTCTTCTTTTGCACTCAGTCTTTCCCAGCATTAGGCTCTTCTCCAGGGAGTCCTTCCTTCTCATTAGGTGGCCAAAGTATTTGAGTTTCACATTAACCCCCCCACCCACCAAGCCACGCCCACAGAACCGGTAGTAACAAATTTTACATTTCACCACTGATCTAATGTGAACAAAACAATGACTATCCAGACCCAAATTGCTCTAGAACAGAACAGAACAGAACAGAACAGAACAGAACAGAACAGAACAACAGAGTTGGAAGGGACCTTGGAGGTCTTCTAGTCCAACCCCCTGCTTAGGCAGGAAACCCTACACCACTTCAGACAAATGGTTATCCAACATCATTTTAAAGATTTCCAGTGTTGGAGCATTCACAACTTCTGGAGATAAGTTGTTCCACTGATTAATTCTTCTCACTGTCAGGAAATTTCTCCATAGTTCTAAGTTGTTTCTCTCCTTGATGAGTTTCCACCCATTGCTTCTTGAGAATCATCCTTGTTTAGATCTAATACATTTTGTGAAGCTTTCCAGTTCCTACTAGAAATGAAACAGTACTGGGGGAGGGGGGGGGCAAAAAACCTCCCCTTAAATTAAATCCATTTTTTTCCAGTGACTGTCTCCTTGAACTATGACTGAAGGTACACACTAAAGCAGCTTCTTGGTGGTTGCATTCAGAAGTTAAGCAGTGAAACAAGACTGAGCTAAGGGTTAGATCCTTGAAGAAAGAAATACAAGAAGAACAAAAGACAGCCTGTTTTTTGTCTTCATGAAAGGATGAGCTCTTGACCTCTAAAGCTAGATCACACAACCAGACCTTTTGTTCAGGTGCGTAGATCAAAGTGGCGCACCTTTAACAAAAGACAGGCGTAATACAATATTTTAATTATGGTTTTCAGCACGCATTGTATAGGGCCCCCACAAAACACCAGGAGCTCTGGTGGCTCAGCAGACTAATTAACATCCACTTACATCTGCTGCCTGCAATTACTGCAAGTTCAAATCTCACCGGGCTCAAGGTTGACTCAGCCCTCCATCCTTTCAAAGGTAGGTAAAATGAGGACCCAGATTGTGGGGGCAATAAGCTGACTTTGTATAAATATACAAAAGTATGAAGGCTATTGCTTAACGCATTGTAAGTTGCCCTGAGTCTTCGGAGAAGGGCAGCATATAAATCAAATTTAAAAAAAAAACCTGCCTAATTAACCAGGTTGTTCAGTTTTGAAGTACTATCAATCAAAGCTCTTGCTGGAATTCGTTTACAGAGATTACAATATGAAGGAGAAATACTTCACTTCGCTGTTAGTTGACTTAAAGGGTCATCTATAATACGATAGGTTTATTGATTAGCCTATAGGCCATATCATAGCACAAAGCACAGCTTTTTGTTTTTCCATAATAATATGAACAAGTCATTTCCATGAAGATCTATCAATCTAATCTATAAAACCCAAAGTTGCATCCTTTTCCACATCAAGCACGAAGATCAGAAGCGGTTTCCATGCGGAAACAAAAGTACTTATGTTCTTTTCTTTCATCAGAGTAGTTAGTTTTGCCAATGCAGCCAAATGGATTGGATTGCCATCTTATTAATAGAGTTGGTTTGACCATGAAGGTTATCAGAAAAAGTGACTTGACCTGAAATGGAAGAGTATCGTTTTGCATTTACTCAAGGGCACATGGGTACTGTAGTAGTGGTGGGTTTCAAATTTTTTTACTACCGGTTCTGTGGGCGTGGCTTGGTGGGTGTGACATGGCTTGGTGGGTGTGGCTTGGTGGGTGTGGCAGGGGAAGGATACTGTAAATCTCCATTCCCTCCCCAATCCAGGGGAAGGTTACTGCAAAGAGCCTGTAGTACAGGCAAGAGCCTGTAGTACAGTGGATTAAAGCACTGTTATTAACATCTGCTGCTTGCAATTACTGCAAGTTCAAATCTCACCAGGCTCAAGGTTGACTCAGCCTTCCATCCTTTCAAAGGTAGGTAAAATGAGGACCCAGATTGTGGGGGGCAATAAGCTGACTTTGTATAAATATACAAAAGTATGAAGGCTATTGCTTAATGCATTGTAAGCTGCCCTGAGTCTCCGGAGAAGGGCGGCATATAAATTAAAGCCAAAAAAAAAAAAAAATCCCCATTTCCTCCTGATCAGCTGGGACTGAATAGATGGGGTGGGGCCAGTCAGAATTTTTACTACCGGTTCTCCGAACTACTCAAAATTTCTGCTACCGGTTCTCCAGAACTGGTCAGAACCTGCTAAAACCCACCTCTGCACTGAAGTAACACCTCTGCTATGGAATTCCATCCCCTATGAAATTTGATAGGGAACCTCTATTAACATTGGTGGAAGACGCATCTCTTCACTCAAGCCATCGCCGTATCAACATTGGATGACTGATTTTCTTGTTTATTTCTCCCCTTTCCCTGTCTATCCTTTTAATGAATGTGCCTTATATTGTTTAAATTTATTGTTTTCATTATGGTACTGCATTTTATAATTCTATTGCCAACAGTCTCGAGATGCACTGTATGGAAAGCAGTATGGAATTATAATATACGATATGCATGCTTCAAGCTTTGGTAGACCATTCTTCATGCAACTAATATTATTTCCCAGTGGGAACAAAACAGTGGCACTCGGCTTCAATTTAGAGCTCGTGTCATTGCTTCTATTACCACTCTATTTTTATTTGTCCCCTTCCTATGAGCTTTGTGTAACCCGTTGATGCTGTCTAGGCCTAAGTTGGGAACGAAGCCAAGGTGGGCTTTGGTGGGCCAAGCAAGATACCAAGATGAACTTTGATGTCCACCATGATTTGCTCATGCATTTCTTTCATTCTGAGCTATATGTAGATTAGTTGCCATTGGCCAATCTTCTCTGACATCATAGAAGGGTCCAGACAGATTCCCAGAATTGTATTATTTTTTTAAAATATTTTTTTTTTATGTTTTAAGACAGACAAACATTTAATACATCAATCCTCCCTTCCCTGTGACGTCTCAGTGTTATCTTCTAGGCTTCTTTTCCATCTTCCATAAGTTTCTTCTATCTTCATATTCATCCAAACTGTTCTAACAGTTCATTTCTAAATTCAATATTATAATCATCATTTGTACATAATTATAGTATCAATCATTTGTATCTCTTTTCCAACCAACTATAAAAATAGTTCCATGTTTTAAAATATTCTGATTCCTCCTTATCTTTAATCATCAAAGTTAATCTATTCATTTCTGCACAGTCTAATTTTTTTTTTTATTACTTCTTCTTTCAAAG